AATTCAACTTTCACATCTGTTGTCAAAATGCTAATACTTAATGTGCAAACATCACATAATGAAAAATTATTAATTCTTAGTATCAGTACTCTAAATTTTTAAAATTTCAAAATAAAAATGGTGTACAAACTATGAAACTAGTTTTAGAAGACATCTTACAAAGCGTTAATGTAAAATATATTTTTGACCAAAAAAATGTTTATTTGGAAAGCTTCAGGTTGTTCTAGTTAATTAGTAACTTAGAAATATGAATAAAATTCCAATCCATTTTTAGTGCTGAGAGGTACATATGAGACCAGAACAACTTTAAGAAGTTTAAGTACATTTTATTAACAATGCATCCCTTTGATAAGATTACACTTCAGGAGGCTTTTAATGCCCATAGAGATGAACTGCACACACACACAAAAAAAAGGGGAAAAAAAAAAAAAACACACAAAAAAAATCAAAGCGGGCAATACCATTTTGGGACAAGCCTCTGTTTAAATTATACACAGCTCAATACAATATTCTTATGGAAAATAGGTGTTAAAAAAAAAAAAAAAAAAAAAGACTACACGGGACAAGGAAAATAAGTCTTGAGATTTTCCTTGATCCCTTCCCTCCTCAGATTAATTTACATCATCTCTTGTAATGCAGTTTTAGGGATGCTGACAGCCCAGTATTGGAAAAATTTTTCAATTAAATCTAGAAGACATCTGCCTTTCCCCCCCCCAAGACATTGCATCTTGTGCTAAAACACCCTATTCAGTGGCAAAATGGCATGTTACGCTTTTTGGCATAAATTACATTTCTCCAATAAAATAGTGTATTTTACAAAGCAATTCAAGCAAAATGTGCATTTTCTGCATGCTGTGGCATTGCTATCCATCTATGTTACAAAAATATTCCAAAGAAAATCCACATTCTTTACTGAACGTACAAATCTGTTGAAAATAAAACGATCCAGGGAACCAGAATTAGGAGTTAAAAAAAAAACCAAGGAGATGGGGGGCTTCTAGCAAAATACAAACATGGTTTCTAGTATGTTCCCAAAGGTCTTTTACAGTTCTCAGATTTTACTCTCACCTAGTATACCTTTAATAAGCACATGATAATAGAAGCGTAACTGAAAAAAAAAAAAGTTATGGGACTTGCTTTCAACTGGCTCCACAGCAAAGCTCTGAATAACAGGACTTCTGTGCAGCCCTGCCAGGAGGTGAGCAGAAACCTCAGAGATGCTCCGAAACCTGGCAAGAATTCTTCCACTGCAATTGCTCAGCTTGAGCTCACACTTACAAAGTAACATCAGCTTCCTGAAGTCCAAAGAGCCAAATACCAAGACCAGGACATAGACTAAGAAGCAGTAACAACTCTTTCATCTCTCACTAGGCTTTGATTATTACCTCTTTCTCAAGTAGCTCTCTTTCTCTTCAGGCACCTAGTAAAGGTGCTATAGGTTTTTTTTTTTCAGCTTCTCACTACAAATTACAACTCATACGTTCAAGACCACTAGATACGTTTTGAAATAAAATGACAGAGATGAGTGGTATTCTTACTGCTGCCTTTTTAAATGTTTATAAGGGCAGCTTACCTCAGTGTGCCAAGCCACTGTGCCCTGAACTACCAAATACTTTAGCACTTCATTGTGTCTTGGGAAAAAAACACCACCACCTCCCAATGAGAGCACATTTACAGTACATATGTCAGGTCAAATAAGAACTGTCAGATGAGGAAAAGCGACTGTTTCAAATACAACATGCCAAGGGCCCAACATACAAGTTAGGCACCTCAAAGCCTGACCATCTCCGTCTCCAAGTGATGTCCATGACAGCTGGGAGCATTCAGCATCTCTGAATTTCAGACAGCTGAAGAGGTAGGTCTCTCCAAAAGGACACTCACAGCACCCAGCTTTGTCCTCCTCCCCACACAGTGGAGAGAAACAGGCCCTCAGGGAAGTAATTGTGAACCCTTTAGTTAGCTCTCTGCCCTTTGGAAAGGGCTATCCCTTTCCACTGACTGTAAAAGCAGACTAAGAAAATTAGCCAGCTAATTTTGTAGATTAAATGTAATTGGTTTCACAGCCAGCCTCTCCTTCCCACAAAGGCTTTTGCCTCAGAGCAGTCTGAGTATTTTGTGTTATCATGTTTAATCATTCAGGAGTTTTCTTTGCCACAGCAACTAAATTGTGTTTGTATATAGTGTAAATGAATGCTATATGCTTTACCATTTGTTCGACAGTATCACAAATAGTTACAATTGCAAAAAATACAAAGCAGGTGGTCTGTCAGCTTCCCTTGCTACCCTTTCTAGGGGAAGTAGAAGGATTCTTTGTTAGGGTTAATATAAGCACAATTTTTATTTACTGCTGTTTTCTTTTGAAGTTTTATCATGAAGCAAATAAAACCCCAAAATAAGAACTTTGAAAGGGATATTTTAAAAAAGAAATTGATAGAATTAGAAATTCACAGTTTATAACTAGGCCAATATCAAATTCCTTCAATAACAGGATCCCTTCATTTGCCAATTAAAATGAAAGCCAGGTGAGCTTAACGTGTAAATATGTAAATTAATTCTAGAAATGCTGTATGTTATGTACAGTATAGACTTTACATCCTTGATGCATACTTGTTGAAATCGACTGACACTCATACACTTTCAGGAAAAAAATTATGTTTTATAACTGAATTTGCAGTAATAATTCATACATTAAGTTTCTGTTGTCATGGATCCCCACACAAGCAAGTACTTCAGAACACATAAGCATTTCAGGATGGAGAATCTTTCAAAAGTATATTGACATCGCTTTTGCTTACTATTTTTATAATCAGAGGCCTTCCTATGGCGCTTTCTACATTAAGTGCTATGGACTAAACTGGTAACAAATGAACAAAGGTGTTTTTGTTTTTAAATACAGGTGATAAAATTTGTTTATTTTGCTTTAACTGCAGAAAAATAACATGGAGTTGTTTGATGTAACCCCATCTAGTTATTAAAACAAATCTCTTATACTCTAGCCTAACTGAGGTAGTGTTTGAAACTACTGTATGAGATATGCTAGCCCCATTTTTGGGAAAACTACATTATTTCCTTTGTAGTTTATACCACTATTTGGTCTACTGTGATTGACATTTTGGTTTTACAGAAGCATTTATTTCTTATGACCAGAGAAGTCCAATAGTTACTGGTGTGGTATGTTTTCAGAGCAGTTCAAACATGCCTTGACACATAGATATATTATTTGCGTCACTAACCATAAGAGAGTTGAATCAGTTTCTTTTTGCTCCTTCTTTCAGTGGGAACTCATGAAAAGATAATCTAAGGAACTAAATTTGACTATGAGCAGCAACTTAGAGATCTGCTTTACCAGAACCTGATGGTATGCAGTGCACATAAGAACTCAGTGAAGTGAAAGCTGCAAAGCAGTGCTTATGTGGCAAGATGAAATTTCCAATAAGAGCAAATAAATTCTACATTTCACTAGGAATCATGTTTTACTGTTCACAGGACTACTTATTGAAATCTCCAGTAGCATAGCTAGAAAGAACAGGGTTATGAGCATCAGGATAAATTTCACTTATCTTAAGTATTAAACTGACAATTATAAAAAATCATAAAAGTGAATGGATAAAAATATGTTCTACCTTAGTACAGTCCAGCTGAATGATTCACCTATATCAAAATCAAAGGGTAATCCCTTCTATTACAGGCATTCTAACAAAGGTGGCCATGCTACTGTGTATATATATTTGGATATATTTATATTACCTTTGTATAAAGGCTTCTGAATCTTTAGATCCATGATAAAAGTAATGGGGATTCTTACTTTTTTTTTTTTAAGCTTGCACTCATTAATTTAGAAACCTCACCAGTAACATGATAGACACAACTATTTCAGTCATTAACAGTCACTGTATCATGTAATTTTTGCAAGAAGCCTCAAATACCAATATAAAATTATAATTATTGTTGCTTCAAAATTTGCTACTTAAGGCTTTTCACTACAATTATTAGTACTATCTGATGCTTGATCACTAATCCTTTGAAAATTCAAATCAAACCTTTATTTTTATAAAAGGCTGTTTCCATGGAGCTTGGAAAACGCTCATATTATGTCTTCTCACAAAAGCAGCAATGATTAAATGTCTTCAAGTTTAGTTTATACAATATTCATTTATCTGATACAAATCATTCTTTTTAAAGGTTTTTAGTTAAGAGTAAGACCAACATTCATACTATATGAGCATGAGTATAGAAACTGCAAACACATGCATATCATTCAGGGAAAACAATCTGATATCAGCATTTTAAGTTTAAATGATTTGTTATTTTTAAAATCAAACTGTAGTGAAAATCCTTAAATGGTTCAGATAAGATACATGTACATAAGTGTAATGAAATTGGAGAGACTGCTAATAAAATTACTTACAACTATAGTAATATTAAAGAAAACCTCATTCACAGAGGCTTTTCTTTCTGTTTGAAGTTACAAACCCCCAAGTAGTGTTATAAACAGTACAAAAACCAACAGAGAAGGGCTAACATTAATCCCCTGGTGTCCATGATTACAGCATGGCTCCCCATTGCTGGCAATGGAATGCACCCTCATCTCTCTGATTCCTGGTATCCAGGGGCTAAAAGGCAAGGCATCATTCTGCTTCTCTGGAACAGAATCGGAAGTCAACCATAAAAGATGTCTCTGCGTGTTGTCCTATTTTATTTTTTTTTTTTAATTTATGGTAAAAAATGAAATGAAAACTTGTGGAGGTGTTCAGTGCTCGACTCTTGCATATACTGGTAATTACTATTATTAAAACTATGGTAATGTTTAATAACTCCCCAAAGGGCTCAAAAGACTGGGGCAGTAATTGGTTAAGGAAGAAAGTTTTCAGTTCAGTCTTCAGGTACCAGTAGCTTCTGGAACGGTCTAGAAAATGATGCTCCAAAGCTTTTTATCCAGTCAATCGGAGGTTGTCTGAGGATTTCAAAGTCTATATGCAATGTACTGCACAAGACAGAGGTCAGGATTCAACTGATGTTTCAATTACTGTCTGTTTTGTTGGTGTTGCTAAAATAGCCTCTGCTTCTTCATGCATCTGAAAGAAAACGACAGATGAAGTATTAATGTTGTTAGAGATTTTACAAGAGACACGTCATAAAATGGTTTTCTTTGAGACATATCTGAAAGCATCTTTTATTCAGAACATGAAACCTGCACTGAGCTGGCACATTTTGGTGCATTCAATGCAGCTGAACCCTCCACTTACTTGTAAGAACTGTACATCTTGAAATAGCTCCTGAATGAACCTTCGAGATGGAAGTCGAAATGTACAATGTGCTAACAAGTAGGACACCTCAGAGTAAAGGCATATGTCATCAAATGCTTGGGGATATTTCTCCTTAATTCTGATCAACAGGAAAAACAAAATTTTAAAAGTCTTGAACAGATTTCCATCATATTTTTAGAAACTGTTCAATTAAATTTTGATTGTCATCATTAACAAAGTAGAACTCTTCAGTAATAGGCATTATACATTCTGGATCTGATGAAGCAAGAAAATCAGAACAGACAGCATTATTTTGTACCAAACTGGAAGAAATCCATATTAATGAGATGAAACAGAATATATAATTTGAAAGTTGTACAGAATCTCTGAGATCACCTAGTCTTAAAATAATAGATGTAGAAAGAGAAAAGTATATCAAAGAATAGGCATCCACATGAACAGCAGTAATAAAAAATACAAAAAGCTAACTTAATTACCTGTAAGCATTTTTAAAACTAAAATGAGCATTTCTACGTTTCCTTTTAGCAGTCGTATGTCAGTTTCCAACATCACTAGCCCAGAAACCTACATTTTTTATTATAACGTGTAGTCCCTGGATTTATATTCCTATTTTTTAACATGGGTTTTTCTATAAATTAATTCCAGTAGTTGTACTCTTGCTTAAAGCAGATTTGTGTTTCTCAAGAAGTTACTTTCAGATTGTTATTCTGGTTATCTGATATATATTATTTGGCACAAATAACAAAAAAGAATTATCATTTCTTTTTTAAAGATGCATGACATAGTGGGTATGTAATGAAACATCACTACAGTTGAATTACTGATTTGAAAAATAATGAGGAAGAGTAAGAAATTAAAGATAGAACAAACATATTAAAAGGAAAAGTCTTTGCTTAGCTTTTACGTTACGTTCAATCATCCCCAGTAACCCACAATAATACCTGCTTGACAATTTTTTGAGAAGTCAGAAATAAGGTGAATCACTATCTCAGAGATCTTAGAAAATACATACAACTAAATGTTGCTAAAACATCTGAAATGTATTTAACTTACGTCAGGAGTCCAGTTTCATGGCCCTTAGTTCCTACTGAACTACTCAAATTGATTACTAAACGTAAGACTTCTTTCCGCAGAAGTATTCTGCACACTGGTGTATCATCTGGGATTGATTTTACTCCTGGAAAAACAAATTCAACAGTATGGAGTTTTAGCAGAATAGTCTTTGATTGTGCTAATCTTATGCCACATAAGTCTGTTTTAAGCATTACACACACACACGAGTATGTATTTATGTATGTATTCTGAACTACCAACAAATATTCCCATTAAAATTAATACAAATGAACAAAAATATTATTTTCATGAATTTTAACATGGAAATATTTAAAAAAGGTAAACTAGCATTTCATAAATGCTGTGTGACATTTAGAAAAATCTGTGAGATTCAATTACAGTGCTGTCTCTATCACTAAATCATGTCACAAACTGGGTGATTACCTGCTCTGTTTGTATCAGATACCGGCAAAGTTAGCAACCAGCTACTTCATAAGAAGTTATGACAATTCAAAATGTAAAACACAAGCCTAAAAAAGAATTGTCTTTCTCTTTACCTAAATTCAGTAATTTTTTAAAAAGATTTTTTTTTAAACTAACAACACTGTAGGGGGAAAAGGCAATCAATTTGATTGTAATGTCAGATATAGAGCTGCATTTACATTACCTGCAAAAATGCCATATAGCTAAAGCAGAAAAGTTTGAAAGTATGCCATCTGCCACAGTCACTAATAATGCAACTACCTTCCTGGATAATGATTAGGGCATCCAAAGAGGGTTTTTTTTTGTTGTTGTCTGTTTTTTTTTTGTTTTTTAAATAAAGAGCATTACTTTGTTGCAGTATATATAAATAAAATATTATTTTTCCACAATACCTAAAAAATACCTTAAGAGTTATAGTCTCTAATAATCATAAGGCTTTCAAACTTACCTAGTACAAGTTCCGTACTCTTGGTGCTGCTAGCTGAACCATGTGATACTGCATCACTACAGCTTGAAATTCCAGAAAATTTGGAGGAATGCACATCTAAGTGATTGTGTATGGTCTGCCCACACCAGTCAGTATATGGAATGTCTGAAAAATCTGAGAGAAACAAGATGTTGCATCTTTGTTGTTCACACTTTAACTCACTTCAAATGCTTTTCTTATTTTTTAACAATGTTAAGCATGCAAGACACTGATGCACTATGAACGGTAACTATCAGCATATAAAACAGCTGGAAACTAGATGTTTGATTTTGGACAAATCATACTCAAAACATCTAAAAATAACTTTTTTTTTTAATCTTATAATACTCGAGTGAAAATAATCAACTCTTAAGCACTGACAGAAGCAAAAAAAAATGTAATCAATGTAGAGCTCTTATGTAAAATAGAGCATGGATATATCAATAACATAATAAAGATGCTCTTGCATATACACAAGCTTTTTGTTCATATAATTACCACAGATCTTGCAGAAAGGGCTCTGACTTCATCAACAGAAAGATGTGACAAGTAAGATTCTTCTGGGAGGTTTCACTATCCATAGCCTTTGGCGTTTTGGATGTAAAGAGATGAATGTAAAATCCAAGCTTTTAATTGTTGCGCAGTTAACAGAACCACAGAAAAACATAGGTCTGAAGGGACTTCTGGAGATCACCTAGTTCAACCCCTTGCTCAAAGAAGGGCTCACTTCAAAATGAGATCAAGTTACACTGCGAAGAGTTTTTCCCCTTATGTTTAACTGGAATTTCCATTCGTACAGCACGTGTCCGTGTTCTCCCATCCTTCAGCTGTGTGCCTCTGACAAGAGCCTGGCTCTGCCTTGCCCGTAATCCCCTCATACTAATTGAAGACTACAATTGGAATTTTATTTGCCATCTCTTCTCGATACTGAACTTGAGCTCAAATTCAGCTCTCTCAGCCATTCCTCACATTTTGTGCATCCTCACATTTTGTGCATCATCCCCCTTGCCAACAGTACTCTTTATGTGTTACTACCTGAATGCATAATGCTGTTGTAAAATGGTAAGGATTCCTACTAAGCAGAAATTGGAATTTCCATTATGGGATTATCTTTTTATGATAGACATTGTAAAAAGGCATGTAACTGCAAGCTCTGCAGAGGAGGTTAGAAAGAAAATCATTTTGAATCTGATCTGAATCTCAAAATATGAAGAAAGAAGACTAAATCCCAGAAGTTACAGCTCAACTTCAACAGACTTCTCAATCAGATTTCCTTTGTTTTGTTTTATGGTACAGACTTGCTTTGAAGTCAGACTTTTCATTAGTTTGACTGCAAACCTCAGTTTTCAGGACACCGATTTGTAAGTACTAAATAAGGTTTTGAATTTTATATTTTGATAAGCTTTTAGAAATATTTAACTACTAACACCACTAGAAACAGAAAAGATGGAAACGACCATAGAAGTACCATTGGTTACATAGCGAGCTTATTAAGGAGAATTAATTTCAAGGTCAATAGTCAGTAAGAAAGGAAAAAAAAAACCCAACAAACCAAAAAACCACCAAAAAAACCCCCACACCAAAACCAACACAACAAAAAACCTTACAGATTCATCAGTTTTAAAGATGAACAAAATTCAATATTTTCATTCAGTTTTATCATACTTCCCCACAAGGAACACTAACCTGTACAACTATACGAAGAGTTCACTTTGTTGTTAGGCTGATAACCCAGTATTTGAATGCAGACACAGTAAAGGCAGTTCTCATCTGTGTGCTCCTGTAGCCCTGTATCCTCTGTATTTTCTAAAAACTGAGAAGCATCTGAACGGCTGGTATTCATTATTTCTGTGAGACTGATCTGCTGTCGGAGCATCTGAAAAGGACTTTTGACAACATCACTTGTACCTGATGGAAGACCTGTAGATAAGCAATTAGACATCAGAAAAAACAAAACCACACAACCAACAGTTAATAAAACATTATTTCAATTACATTTCCCCTTTTAAGCCTTTTAAGGCTGGGAGGGGGTGTGTGTGTGTGAAGATCTAGAAACTTTTTTTGAACAGTTAAGCTACCAAGATTTGTTAGCATACGGGAAATAAACATCACATTTTAGTCCCGGCTTATCATACATAACAAAACATTGCAAAGGACAGAATTCAACGTCTAAACACACATACTGTAAGAAGATATGTGGTAAATCCTGACATTATATCAACATTAGTGATAGTAATACCCATGTAACATTAATATGTTACGAATTTTCATAGTATCAAACAAAATTAGTACAACAGTATACCAGATGTATAAATGACATGCACCAATGAAAACAGAAACACAATTTAAAAAACTGTAACTTAGTGCCTGCAATAGGATGAAACTAGACTCAACAATGCAGAAACAAGTCGAAGACACTTTAGCAACATGCTCTTCCCTGGGTGGAAAATACCAACAAATACAATTTTGAACAGGCGTTACTTTACACTGAAACTTAGTAAACTACAGAAACACACTTTCAGGAAAGTCATCTTTACATATATTACATTAACAACACAAAAGAAAAAAAAATAAAAATCAGTAAGATCTGTCTATTTGGATGTTCAAAGTGCTTGTAATAAAGTTCCAATTAGCTAAGAAGCAAGACAACAGCTACTCTGCACTACTTTAGGACCAGTATCAATGTTTCTTTTTCAGTTGTCCTACTGAAAAGATACATATTGATGCCCTACAGATTTCTGACTACTCTGGAGTAAAAAGAAAGCACATTCCAGAACAAGCCAGGCATTACAGAGCACTTGCAATTTTCTTGTACCATGTTCCATCACCTCCACTGATCAACTGTCACAGAAACATCACAGAAAGACAAAATTTACTTTCTGAAATACACATCTAACACCTTTATTGGTTCCTGTAAATTCACATGTAATCAAAGGGGAGTAAAAATATAACAGCTCAATATATATCTGGCATACATATTTTATCTTAGCTTAAATTTTGTTACTTTCTTTAATGCAGTATCACTACCAGTCTTCAATTAACATTAGCTCATATTATAATCAAAGATACATAGACTTTCCTTCTTAGTTTATTAGAGCTGGATCAAGCTTTGAAGCAACACCACATTATCTTGAACTACATAAAACAGGGAATTAATAGCCCACTATCCTGAATCCAGAACACAGCTCAAAAATTAACAGCTAAAAATAACCTTTTCTGTAAAGAAAAATCAACAAATAAAACCCAACACCGCACCCCACCCAATGTACAGACAAACAACAGAAAGGTACAGAAGAGGAAGAAAACCAATACCTCCTGCATTGGGTGCAAAGACCCTAGCTCCACGGTCATCAAATGGAGGTGTGGTTTTCTTCTGGAAATATGGAGTTTCCTTTACCTGGAATATTCAAATGAAAGTTAAAATTAGCACAGGTGATAATTATATACAATGGAAAAATAGGTATTTTTTAATGAGGAAATAAAATGCTGTCAATTTTTTACTTCAGGAAAAAGATCTAAGTGGAGGAGGAAATTAAGAATGGGCTCCTGAGTAGTAAAGAAAAGCCAATGAGAAAAACATACATTTGTGAATGAACATTTATTAAACAAGGCTTATGAACAGCCAGTAAATGGTAAAACATAGTGGTGACAGGCTGCAAGGAAACCAGTGACTCAGAAGTGGCTATTTATGATCTGTCCACAAACACTCTACAACACTGGAGACCTCGTGAAAGCAGAGCAAAACCACCCAGGACATCTAAAATATTGCCTGTAAGATGTTGCAGAGTCGAGATGTGTCTCGACTCTACAAAAAGAGTTGAGAAAAAAGAAGTGAGGCAACATAAACATGCCATAAAGAGTGTGGAGGAGAGAGAAATTAAATAGTCATTTAATAAAGGGGAAACAGAAGCAGGTATGATGGAAAATCTTGCCTTTGCTCTAGCTTTAGTAATTTTTTTGAGATTAGTAAGAAAGGAATTTATGTTTGAAAGGCAAAGGCTAAGTAAACTAAAGATAAGGAAGCCACTGATTTACCTTTGACATAGACCATGTCCTGTTTTTGATAACTAGGTAACAGAATATTAAACATTGTGATGCATCAGTTTGTTAGATAGGAATGTGTTTTAACTAAGTAGAGAGAGGAAGGCAATTGATAAGACACTTAAGATAATCGGTTTTAACTTAAAGAAATATATCTGTGAGGTTAAGTAAAGACAATATAATTTAATGCTATGATGATAGATATACAAATAAAGTAATATTAAATCAAGATCATGGTAGCAGAAATCATGGTAGCAGGAAGTTTACCGTGGGATTATGCACATCATTTATGGTTGACCAATGAACATATCAATTAGTTGGCTAAAGAAATATTAACAAATGTCCACAGACTATGCTAATTGTATTATAAAAGCTAGCTGTCAGCTAAAAATCTTATGACAGCATATTTATGCTACCACTGTTTAACACAATTCTAACCTAGTCTCTGTCATTATTTTCCTAATAATACAAAACAGACTAGCACTTTTCTGTAAACAGGGTTAGAAAAGTAACTCTTGTTCTCCAAAACGCATTCCTTGAAAGTACCACATCCTGTTTTCCTCATTTCTGTAGATCTAATCTATTCTGATGATAATGCAACAGTTAACTACCTTCCAGTCTGAAAATGCAAATGAATCCATTAAGTTATCACATACATACCTGAAATATTTCATTGATATCCACTGGGAGAGCAAGGCCAATGTAATCATCAGAGCTACCATATGTAGCATTAGAAACCATGGAGCGAACAGAGGAGGAACGCTGAAGCGTGTTTTGGTTAATAGGACTTAATAAATCTTCTTTATCTAACGAAGCGTAACTTAAAGCTTTCATGAACCTGTAACATTGAAATAATAAATCACAATCTTGGTAAATCTCTCATTCTGCCACATTACAAGTAAGGAGGACTGCTGACACAAAGACTATCCTCATCTTCCCATTGTAGAACCCAGAGCTTGTTACTCTGTCAAATTACAGGCATAGGCTTATTGCTTTTGTTCTGTGTCATGTTCTATTGCATGGTTTGGCAGTTCCTTGGGTAAAAATTTGTGATCTTTTTTTTGAAAGTCCTGGAACAGGGACTTGAAAGAGAGCAGGATGGAACTTCTGCTTAAGGGGTTGCCAACCCTGTAAAAACACAAATTTTCTCCAACTTACCAGGCTTTGAAGATTTACAGCTCAGACACAGTCAGTAAAGATTTAGGCTTTTAAACTGCTAATGCAGAGCTTGAGCCTGCTAGGTACCAGAGATGCAACCAAGGAACATTTTTTTTCCTGTATTCTAAAGGAGCCACCCACTGGGTCACCCAAGCATGGAAGAATTTGCTCAACATGAACAGACAAAGAACAAACTAGAACCTGCACAGTGAGCAGAGCTGACTGTGACAAGTAGCCTGAAGAACAAAGAAAGAAATAGGTTGGGAAAGGAGACAGGAGAGAGGAGGCTGGAGAACAAGTCCTCAGTGCTGATCAGAGTCCCGATGATGGAAATCTCTCATTTGGCCATCTCTCATTTTACTTCTCATTGAAGATAAAAACCTATGAATGCTTTCTGCTAAACAACCTAAGTAGATGGTCTATGCAGTGGATTAAAGCTTCCGAGTAAAAAGAGACACTCCTTAGGAACAGTAAATTTTTATTATATTACACATTGGAAGGTAAGTACAGTGAACATTTTATTTCTTGAGCTGGACTTTCTGCCTTAGAAATAATTTTTTAGCATTTTTTTGTTTTAGATGGGCAATTAAAATGTCTTCTCAATCATAACAGCTTAACAGATTTACACTGAGATAAAAATAAATTATTATGGTTTGACCATGTGTTGTTCAAGACATTATTATGTGATGGGAATGTGCAGAACACAGATTATAGGACATCAACAATTTTCTTGCTGCTAATTCTGACCAATGCTAATTACAGTAGCAGTGGACTTGCAATAAAACTCGTCATACTTCAAAACCCAGAGTTACCAATTGCATTAGTTATTTCATAATAAAGCATTCTATAATTACTCTCAAAATAAAGATATATGTATTATTCCTAAACATTTGTCCCTGCTTCTCTTGGAAAAGCTAACAGATATATCATTAGTAGTGATAAACACTTTTTTCATGAAATCATGTCTGCAGGTGATGGGGCAAGAGCCACGATCAGGATTTGAGACATGCACCTTAACATTTTTGGTTGGTCTTTAAAGACAGAGATGGAAAATTTAGCCTCACAAAATAATTTGTGCAAAGAAACAAGCTTTTCAACGTTTTGAATGAATGGAACAACATCACTGAAGTCAATTTACAGCTGCTACTTGCTATGAACACCTGAATTTGTGAATGAAGCATTAATCAAAGAAAATTTTCTGAAGACTGACAAAAGAATGGCCTTAGAAGACAAAAAAGGACAGAATATTTCTTTCCAATTTATTACTTAAACAGCAGTTAAAGACAATATTTAGCTGGAAGTAGTAACATACTCTGAAATTAAAAGGACCACAATTATTCAGTGGAGACAATCAGCTGTAACCAGTAAGAAAAATACATATACTAGTTAAGTCATAGTCTTTCCAATCAATTATATCAGTAACCAAGGCAATCTGGCAGTCTTTTGTAATACGTACATCTGCAATTTTTTAACCTTCTCAGAGATATGAGCATTCCAGTCATTTCAGTTCAACGTTAAACAGGTTAGCTCAAATCCTTGCACCTAACCACTGATATGAGAGATCATGAACAGCTAAGCACCAGGAATACTGTTAGTATTACACTGCATGCTGAGTCTCAGGATGAAAGTCCACTGCAGCAAGGCTGCTTTGCATATCAAGGGCATGACTGCATGGAATGGCACAGCATGACTACAGCCACAATAGAATCTGTACTGCCACTGAAATGACACTGATTTGTTCTTGCATTAGCACAGGAAGCCAGTGACAGAGCAAGGAACAGAGCTTCTGATTTCCAGGATGGTGCAGCTTAACTACTGAATCATCCTTAATTTAATCAGCACACTCAGTCTAGTTCTAACTTAACTGAACAAAGGGAACAAAACCTATCTTTTATGGCATCTTTGCAGAATCATGTGAAAATATCATAGAATGTCCTGAGTTGGAAGGGACCCACAAGGATCATCAAGTCCAACTCCTGTCCCTGCATAGGACAACCCCAAAAACCACCCCATATGTCTGAGGGTGTTGTCCAAATGCTTCTTGAATATTGTCAGGCTTGGCGCCATGACTACCTCCCAGGGGAGCCTGTTCCAGTGCTCCACCACCCTCTGCATGAAGAACCTTTTCCTAATGTCCAACCTAAACCTCCCCTGGCATGTCTTCCGGCCGTTCCCTCGGGTTCTATCATTGGTCATCAGGGCATCCGGCTCCCCCCCTAAACCCTTCCCCATCTTCGTGGGTCTCCTCTGGACACTCTCTAGTAGCTTTGTATCCTTTTTGTACTGTAGCGCTCAAAACTGCACACAGTGCTCAAGATGAGGCCACACCAGTGCAGAGTAGAGCGGGACAATCACCTCCCTCGACTGGCTAGCAATACAGTGCTTGATGCACCCCAGGACACGGTTGGCCCTCCTGGCTGCCAGGGCACACGCAGAATTATTTTTTAATACAAAAATTATTTTTAATATAAAAAATTAATGTTTCTCTTAAGCAGGAAGGAAACTAGTAGTAATAAACAGGCACTATAGACACTCAACTGGGTATATGTGGATTGAAATTCAGGGATCAGGCATTTGCTCTTCTGTGCAGTAAGGAAGTGACTAATGTGCTGGTAACTTCTCCTCTCTTTCTCTCATGTGAGACAGGATATTTAGGTAAAAACAGAGATAGAAAGTGTCTTTTCCCTTTCAATAGTAATCTGAAAATCCAATCCACTAGCTAAAAGCCGATTTGAAAGGAAAAGTTTGGGAATTAGAAGAGCTTTTAAGAGAAAGTTGTTAAGCACTGACTTTAGCTGCTGGGAACAGTGTCAATGTCATGAGCTAGATATCTTATATAACTATCCAATTAGTCTTCAGAAGAGCTAATATTACTCAAAAATAAAGAGGTGACACTGCAATCTAAAAATAAACCCTATAAGTAAAATCTTTGCTCTGTTGTAGCTAAGAAGCCAAACTCACATTCGTATCAGTGGTACCAGTATCTCACCACTGGCCTCAGTGCCACAATGAACAGTAATATAGCATATTGGCAGGAGTCCATGTCTTAAAACCTCACCAAGTGACATCAAGAAAATTCTCTTCTGAAATACAACTCTGACTGCATGAGCAATTTTGTGTGATTGTAACTTTAGTAATGTTAGCAGTACAATTGCATTTAAATATAAAAAAAAAAGTTAAACAGGAGGCAAATGTGATAGAAGGAAACATACTCCTTTGTCACTAACAGCATTAAAGGGACTGAGGACAGCTATGAAAGCTGGGCTTCTCTGATGGCACTTACAAAGTTCAGACTTCTCATTAGCCTATTATTCTCCTAATATTGGTACTGCTTTCAGCGAAGTTATGAATCATCCTGCAACAACTGTCACTTTTAGATGAAGTTGGAAAAAAATATTAGAAAGATACTTTTCTTATTTAATTGCTCTTACAGCTTGTAAGAAACAAGCACATAATAATCTCTTACCGGCTTGGGGTCAGCCGAGAATCCAGGCTGCCAGACTTCATAGTAATAGTATCAGTAAACAGCACGTCCTTTGCTGGAGATGCTAGGGCTTCTGAGTGAGACAGTGAAGGATGCATTCTCTGCTGTTGTAAGCGTTTTAGTGTAGCATAGCCAAAGGCATCTCGAGAACTTGTGTAGCTAAAGTTATAGTCAGCAAGACTTTTTATTGTAGCAAGAGAAGGAGCCTTAAGAGACTGGGCTCTTCGGGGAAGTGTATGAGAAGACCCTGGTGGTACCAGGGATACAGAGTTGGATTTTGAGAGAGGCAGGTGGTTAGACTGTGGTGTTGAACAGTGACTTGGTTTAACTGTTCTTGCGCTTACCACAGTACTCAAACTTCCACAGTCAGTATCTACGTTTGTAGTGTCCACACCTACAGTCTCCCTTGAAGGGCTAGAGCTCATTGAGCTTATGCCACTTGTTGTGGTATCTGTATTAAAACTTAAGCTACGACTCTTGAAATGTGTTTGTGTAGTACCATCTCCTATTAGCCTTTCTCTGCTTGTGTTTTCCCGGTGAATTTCATTTCCAAGACCTTTTGGCAGCTTCAGATCATTTTCTCCAATACTTGGGGTACTATCAGTATCTTCCATGTGCTTACTTCCGACAAAAGAAGTTTCTAATTGTAAAGTCTGGATTTTAGGAATTCTGAAAACAGGGCTGAATTCTTCCCCAGCAGGAAAGTCTATGCTACTGGAAGGTTCTGTTACAGTACGATTTCGCCTCAGGCCTGATTTACTGTCAGATGTCAGCTTTCCTCCTTTTGGATCACTGCTACTTCTATGTTTTTTATTAGGTAAAGTAAGAGAGTTTAGAATGCGATTTTTCACAAGTCTGCTAGAAGAAAAAAAAGGAAAGGGACTACGGTCTTTGTCCTTTGAAGGTCCAGGTCTGTCATAAAATATTTGTTCTGCATCTTCAGTAATATCTAGGAAGAATGTACTAGTGGAAGTACTACCAAAACGGTCATCCTCCATGATGAACATACCTGAAATTATATGAGACTTTGTCACTGAAAATGGACATTTCTTCAAAGTGCATAAACTATGTTGCAAAAAAGTAAGCAATTTGATAGAAGCCGAAGTGGGAGACTATGCGATTTATTGCAATTTTAATTCAACATTTTTTCTGCAGAACTTAGCAGTGTAAATTAAGTACCTTGAGGAGTACCTGAGCTGAAGGTCTCATTGCTTCAAAAGAAAAGCCACACTATCTTATTTCAGTGCAAATATCCAGCTACTAGGATTACAACTGATGCGCTCCTTTAATGATATCTAAATATGGTATATTTCTGGATTTAAATTCCAAATATCAATAGCAAAATTAAAATGTATTAGACACACAAAATATACAAGAATTTAAATACAGCAATACTGTATATATGTGTGTGTATACACAGAATATATATTCTAAATATTCCTTTATTCCTTTGACAACAAACAAATATATGTATCTTTATACCTAAAGCATGAAGATTTCTGCAGGGTATTATAGCAACTTGACATAAAAAACTAGTAACTTACCCTAATATTAAAATTTCTTATTTCTACACCAAATGTAAATCTAAGATGCTGTTCTCTTCCCTCTCACTTGATTACATCTCTCTGAATGCATATAACTGTCCCCTGGCTTGCACTCTTCTTTCTTGCAATAGCACCTTTAAACCATTTGCCCAAACCTCATCCTGCCAAAAAGTCGGTAAGAACACCAAAATGCTGTTTTGTGGTGGTTTTGGTTTTTTGGTGTTGCTTGTTTGGGTTTTCTGTTGTTACTTACTTGAAGGTGTAGATTCGCTTTCACTGTTATGCCTAGAACTGGTGGACTCAGAGTTCAAGCTAAGAGTACTGGGTATAGAAGAAAGTTCATTGCAGAGCTGCTCCACGTCATCAGGGACCACTGGCCAAGGCTGTCTACGACTGTGTCTCACTGCATCCCAGTTATGATGCTTCAAAATGTCACATCCTTGTTTAGTTTTGGCTATTAGACCAAGCACGTAGACACAGGTTCTGTATTTAATGTATATACAGAAAAAAGAGCAACAATAATAGCATCTAATTTAACTAAACTTATTTCTCTCTTGAAAGGAAATAGTTTCAAAACAATTCAGCAGAAACTTCACAAAATTGCCAAATAGCTTTTTGTTCCTGATTTTTATTTGTAAATCAATGGAAGCTTAAGAAATGCACTAAAAGACCTGAGAACAATACACTATTAAAAAATTTAAAAATAATTATTACAAGAGCCTGATACA